AGGTTTGGCCTCGAGCGGAGTTGGGCCGAGTTGAGTCCGCTTTGGAGCATTTCTGAAGGGAAGATGAGAGGTGAATGTCTTGATACATATTTGGCACTTTGCAATATGCATGCACTTATTCATGCATATTCCATGGATTTATGCATTCAACACTTGCACCCACCTAAAACACCAATGAGGCCGGCACCTAGCTGACGGAAGACCAGGGCCAAGCAGGCTTCCATGCGCTGAAATGTGTGAGCGCACGTCAAGGCTTGTTGCCTCATGTCGTGTCGAACGGATGAACCTCATGGAACATAAAACTGCAATCCCCTATAGGATCCTGTCGACTTGCAACTAGAGTGTCTTTGAACATACCAAGAACTCTGGCTTCAAATTGCACCCTCACAAAAGGTGCCGAGGCATTCCATCTAGGCATGCACTACCCCTGGCCGCACATTAGCATTGGGGCCCGTTGAACATGTTGATTTGATGATTGCTCGATGATGCAAGAAATGCAATTATTCCATCATGGTAGACAATGTGTGATGATATTTCGTTGACAGGATGGGTGTCTTGGTGGGTGCGTGTGGATGTCTTCTCATGCATTGGCGGATGGTATGGACGGGTGTGTAGCTACCACAAGTCTGTATCCAATATTCTCCAGTCAAAACCGTTTAGCTGATGTTTGTTTGGATAGGGCTAGGGTCTTCGGATGTCTTTGGGTTCCTCTCTTTATGATGGGATATTTATAATTAAAGGTCTTATCAAGAAGTGGTGGATGGTTGGACTTTAGCAGTCCCAGCAACATATTGTTTGAGCGATTCACGGGAAAAGCGTGGAACACCATAGTGGGGATTGGTCGGGATTTTTTTGTGGCAAAAGACGGCAAAAGCACCGCAAAGAATACAAGAACAAAACAGCCCAACATGCACAAAGGAACCACTCGGCTCGTGCGCAACTTCTTCTTCTTCGTCTAACTTCTTGAAAGTTCTGGACGCTTAAACATGGCCAAACACCCTTCACACACCTACCAACACACACCGACCGAACGACCGAACCCTCGGCGCAAACACCGTCCCGACCGTTCGGAGCTCTCCGAGCCTGACGGTGTCGGACTCGGAGGCCAGGTTCTGCTCTCCGTTCAACATCCTCTCTTGCCTTCGGCTCGGCGAACGGCCAACAACGAGCCGAAGGCTTCGGCGTTGGGTTTCTTTCGGGCTTTTTTGGAAGAAGAAGATAAATCCCATGGGGGTCGAACTCGGTCTAACTGTACATTCCTAAAGCACTAAAAGCACAATTTAGTGATGTTGATGTGAAGAAGGGGGTGAAGAAAAAGAAACACACAAACTGCTTTACGAAGGATTTTAGACCAATCTAGAACAGCCTGGACCCTCAACCATTAAGAAGGTTCTGAACTATGGGGATTTCTTTCCTATTGGGCCGATAAACGGCCGATTCCAACCAAAAGTGACCGCTTTCAACCAAAATTGAACGCTCGCGCGCGTCCTGTTCTTTTCTTGATGTGCACACATAAAATGGTCCAGTCAAGTGGAAAACCTATAAGCTACAGTGCAAATAAGTGTGAGCAATTAGAAAGCATGCAACGCTGGCTTGCAGTGTTTGCACGAGGTGATTCTTGTTGGATAGCACGTCCCTCGTTCCCCCCACCATCCTGGGGGAAGCCCCTCTGAGGTTCTATACTGTAGATTCTAGTTGCGATGGAAACGATGAAATCCTGAGAGCCATCGAAAAGCCAAAAGTACCGAAATCCACATTTAGCATACTTTTGCCGGTTTTGCGTGCTCGTTGCGCCCCGGTTTTTGCGTACTATTTGCAGCTTTTTCTACCTTGTTTGGGTGTTTGGCATGAACAAGCAGCTTTGCAATTGAACTATTGCATATCGAGTGAAAACGAATAGCATTAGGTGAGGCTCTTGATTTATATAGTGGGGGCAAACCTTGTCCAAAACCTGAATGCCAGGAATCAGATACTGTTCTGTTCCGACTCTGTGGGAGTGCCTTCAACTTGCGGTTGGTTACACTTTTGGCAAACATCAAGAGTTCAACAAATCACATTGAATCTTCATGAATTGGGCGATTCTCCTTGCTCATCTCCAATTCTTGAACTATTGCGGCCGTTTATTGCGGCTAAGAGTGTTGAAATAACATGACATAACTTAACCTATAAGTTCAGAACATTCTTCACGGCTGAAGCTTCAGGAGGTCAACCTTTCCTTTAATGCCCATTTGACACCTTCCCGCATGACCGAGCTACTTTGAACTTGGAGAGTTTCCCTACCATAAACCTCTATGGCAAGAATGTCAAGAGACAACCCTGTATTGCCACACTACTGAGACTCACTACAGCCACAGCGCAAACCTCACCAAACCTGTTCTACTGCCACAAGACTGGCACACACACTACTGCCACAGCAAAGCCTCTTCCTATCACACTAATCCCGAGTACCTATTAAACAACGAACCCCAAATAAAAAAAGGTCATGTCGGATCCCCCTAAATACGGTTTATTGTTTTTAATTTACCGCCCTTTCAAACCGCTACTAAACTACAAACATTGCCGATTTTGGAGGAGTATTTTTTATTAGGTTCCAAAAACAACCGTGACTGCCCACCTCTGTCCGCCCTGTCTATCCACCTTTCCAAAGCTTTATATAGTTTTTTTTTGGGGGGGCTAGCATATACCCTGGAAGTCCAAAGACTATACTTTTCCATAGTGAAGTAAAGGACAGTCCCTTTCAGGCACCCTAAAGACCATTCTTTTTGTAGTCTTTGACTCCCAGGGTATATATATATATATAGTTGTTAGTCTAATGAAGAATCATTATTCTAATAAAGGTTTTTGTAGGGGAAGAGGAAGACCCTTCGATCTGGAGGTTTTTTGAATTTTTGGTGTGAGTTTAATAAAGGATGTTATTAAACAAAAACAAACATCCTGGGTGACTTTTTGGTTTTGAAGCTCTTCCCAGGTGACCCTATTTTTGACCCCCCCGATTTCAGGGACCCCCGATTAAAAAACATGCGACAGAGGTTTCCTTATTAGGGGGGGGGCTGTGTTTTTTAATAGGTGGACAGGATTATTTCCACAGCACTTTTCTCACCCGAACGGGCCTGTTTTTTTAGACTGCATGTCGGTGCCACCCACCCGAAAAACCATCCCAAAGCACTAGCACTGTCGTGGTCGTCGGATGTGGGAACCTTCTCAGTGTGTTTTGTTCGGAACCTGACACTGGGCATCACTGGGCTCTCTGCAATGATCCAAGATTGTGTTCCATTGATGTAAGCTTCTCCTGCAAAGAAAAAAGAACGACAGAAACGGCCATCCAACAGCGCAGTCAGAAAACAGCTTCGGCTTGTTCCTCGCTGTGTCACGGACGCAAAACCGGGTCAAGGACCTCCCTTTTTGGGAACAGATCAGGCCCAAAAAACCGGGAGTGGTCGGTGCTCGGGCCCGGGGAGTGGTCTGAGTCTAGTCGGGTCTGGTCAGGAAACTTGGCCACCGATGGTCCGCGGCCCCGCTCGGTGGGAGGACGTGGCAACGTGACCAAGCCGCACCAGCCCGCTCGGTGGCACTGCTGTTTTAGGGCGTCTCTGGGACACGAGTCTCCGGGACACCCATCCTTCAACCCCGTCCAGTCAGGTCTCGGCTGTTCTGAACGCAGCCCGTTGCGTCAACCTATGAGATCCTATGAGGTGGGTGGAATCGTTGGTTCCCCAAAAGGCAGAATGGGATCTGCCCTGGTGAGAAGATTGACTAAGGTCTCTTTTCCCGGTGTCCATCCGTAACTTACAACGTTACAATATGACAATATGATACAATATGTTAGAATACATCAGAATTGATCAGAATTGTATAGAATTGTTCAATCTCTCCTGTCCGTTTGGTGCTGTCCTCCATTTTGGTCAGGAACTCAGTTTGGCTCTTCGCACGCCTCACAATTGCCCAGAATTGAGGCCGGATCGTGGCGTGATCCGCACGGCATTCGTGTCATTGGTACGTCAAGTGAAGTTGACGTCGAAACTCTGAGTACCAGGCGATTCGTAGAAGTCGGCCCACTTTTTGATCGCAAACCTTGCACCACGCAGTTGGAGAACCAGGAAAAGCTACGAAAAGAGGGGTTTGGACAAGGAAAGCTCCGAATTTTACTCCCTGCGGACGTGAGCTGACACACATGACTGGATGTCCCCCTTGACCTCCCTTGACTGTGGAATGACTGGATCTTCCAACGACCAAACAATTCTGCAAGGACAAAACAGGTATAAGAAAGGAAGGTCCGGAAAAAAAGACGCCTGAATCATCCTGAAGCAATGAACGTGAGTGGCTTTTCGCTCACTCAGCAGTGATTTGGTTCCCGAAAAAATCGCGTTCCTTCCCCAAAGACGCCATGTCATCCAGTTCGACCGTCTTCGAAGTTGATCAACAAAATAACAGCATGCGCCCGCCATGCTGTGCCTATAGGGTGTTCATCCTGTAGGGTTTCGTTCGCTTTTGGGCTCCGACATGTTGGTATTCGTTGTCTGAAAGGACTTGAAGACCATCGGCGGGATATTCTCCCAGCTGTCCTTGTCAAGCCTCGCTACGTCCGAGGGCGGAGCTGCAAGAAACACATCATGTGAAGGAACCCCTGGAAAAGGATTCTCATCAAAATGATATTTTCAGGTTCTATAGGTTCGGTTCAACATGGTTCAACTTACCCGGTGTGACAAATCAAACGGCCTAGAAGAACTATATATGGAACATTATGGAACTAAGGTACGGACCCCTGAGTTCCCTGGAGTTCCCTGAGCCTCCAACACCATTTTCGAAATGTTGAGGCTCGCCATGTCTACGGCTGGCTTCTCGAGATGTTGCTTTGATCTCGTGCAAGCATGCGCGTGTCATGAGGGGTACTTCACCAGCTGTGACTCCTTGCGAGCTTGCCATAGCTTCATTACCCCTGATTTCAGCATGAACCCATGACCTGGATCACTGCAAGGTCTCATGGAAGGTCTAGTGGGCATGCGGCATGCCATGAACAAGTCTGTTGAGACATCGTTCGTCTGCGAAGCACTGCATGTCGACGACGAGATGTCACCGAGCACTGCACCAGCGCGGTGCCCGGCGGTGTTCAATCCTAGACTTCGTTCATGCCAAGTCCAGCGACCGCAGCGCTGGTACAAGTGCCGAACACCTCTGCAAGGGCGCAGCGTCGGACCTTTTTCTCGCGAAAAAGAAGCTGCGATGAGGTGCTTGCTTGACAAGTACCTGAGTTCTTTTGCGACGAGACGTGCTGCGGCGACGTTTCCGTGCTCAGCTCACAAAACGCAAATGCAGTCCAAAGCTGCCATTCTCAGCGTCCAACCGTGCCCAACGCTGCCCAAACGCGCGCTCGCATGAGCTGCTACCTCCTTCAAGGTTCAGCCTGGTTGGCTGCAGAAATAGCACACCCCGAATCTTGCGACATAACTTAATTAAATGAGGCTTCCCAAACACGACTAATGGGACTGCCATAGGACTGCCGCCCCATTGACCCCTGTTCAACCACCCCTGGCCGTTTCTCGGCAGTCCGAACTGGCAGTCCCAGACGGGTCGTGTCTGGGCTTGTTGAGACATGTTGAGACATGTTGAAACATTGGATTAAACAACTACCACAACCGCTGCTTGCTGGGGACGTTGCGGTCAAACATACGGGGATCCGTTGAACTCACGCGATCCGATCCGCACGGAGCGGAGGCACCACGGAGCCGTTGGGGGAGAGAGAGAGAGAGGGAGAGAGTATGGGAGGCAAGGAAGGGAAAGCGAGGGATGGATGGAGAAGCAAATCCTCTCTGCTTCATGCTTTTGGCTGCAGACGCGGAGCCTGCCTCTGGAGCTTGCTACCAAAGATTGAGGGTGTCCACTTCACGCGAATTCAGACTTCATGTGAGTGTTTGTTCCACTCTCAGCATACATCCTTAATTATATATACTTGCCATGTAAAAAGGAACCATACAAAAGAACCGTTGTGCCGACTGTGCTCGTCTCTTCGGAGACTGGTCTCGCAGCCGGACAGATTCGACACCGGTGCACGGCCTTGCTCTACTGGAGTTTCAATCGCAGCCCACCTGTCGAGGGATGGATCTTCCTCTTTGTGCCCGGAAAACCCTCGACAATCTATGTAACTGGAATCTATATATATATACACATAATATTGATATATATATATAGACCATGTTATAGACTACTATAGACCCCTCAAAGCACCCCAATGCAGGTAAATATTCCAGACGTGGATGGTCTGGGGACGCTGTACAATGAAGCACTCGTCTTTGATGAAAAGTGCCCATCTGCTGCTGATGTTCCTGGATAGGAAGAATGCACACTTCAAGAGAGTCACATCCAGGTTTCGCCGAAAAGCAATGTGACGTCTGGGTTGGTTTGGCCTCAGCCTCATCGTTCATGTCACAGTAGCAAGACTCAGACTATGTAACACCCAAACGCTCGTGGACCCTCCTAAGGAGGGGGGCCAAATGGGACTCTTAGATTTGTAGGATTTGAAGGACCAAGGCCTGTTTTGAGCGTTTGGACCATAAACCTTATATACTTTACTTACATTATTGCTGCGATCCTTTGAAGCACTGAGTGTCAAAAAGGGTCCATTCCACCGAACGGAAAAGAAACGCACAGGGCGCCTAATGTAGACTCTTGATTTATAAACCACCTCGAATTGAATTGAACAACTTCGATTCTTCAATTGGGAGGTTTAATAATCAAGAGTCTGCATTACTATTCATTAGAGCATATTAGGGCCATTTTTGGAGTTGGCTGTGGGTCGTGGCAGCACCGGCCGGGCACGATAGCTAGCACTGATCTGGAAGATCTGGTCGTGTAGCGTGGTCGACGGTGGAGCGCCAGGTGGCCGAGCTCCAGGGTGAACGACCCATCCCCTGGTTCGAATCTCTAAGACTATTAGACCAGTCTTTTGAACTGACATCAGCTGCAGGTACTGCAGGTTTGTCTGCCTGCCAAAAAAAGGCGTTCCAGGTGAGGCTTTTCAGGGAAGGACAGCAATGCTATTGAACCACCTGTTGCAGCGAATCATCATGACTCATCTAAAGATTCTCTTCATGAGATGATGTGGCCATATGTAGCCGGATGGACTTCACACACCTTGGGACTTCAGACACCTGGGTCTCCGTTGAAGTTGCTTCGGATCACTCCAGTCGAAGGGGCGAAAGATCCCGTGGGGTCCTTGACGGGGTCCACCCGGCCACCCGGCGAGCCCTGCAGGGCGAGGTCGGCACCCCACCCCCTTCGAGCGAAGGTCGCCAGCGACGGCACCTGCTCTTCCACCTCTTGGAGCCTTCGCTGCAGTCCTCGGACCGTTGCTGAGGCTATTTTGGTCGATGCGGACGGGCCGCGTGATGAAACCTCGTTTAGTGTCTGGGATATGGCTGTGCAGGTCAAAACCTGGAGCGCCAAACCCTTCTCCAGTTTTGACCCACACCGGTCAAGATGTCAAAATGATCGAGTTCCAAAGGACACCCAAATAGCGGAAAACATGCGCGTCCACGTCCATCCTAAATAGCCATCACAATCTTCGACCATCCCCCAAAATGATGAGAACATATGAGAACCGTTCGTGTTCACGACTCAACGCAACACAGCACACACCAAACATGTCAAAACCGTCACCGGCCTTGACCCAATCCAATTACCCATCCTGGCCGCACCACCAACTTAAAAGACAAACCACACACATTTAGTATACTTATATAACTTATATACTTATATACAGATATATACAGTGTCGCAAAAAAAGACCGGTCGTTCTGTCTGAAATGGCAGGGCACCGAGGAGTTGCTGCTGCAAAGAGGTCTTCTCCCCTTTCAGTTGCGTGATCTCAGCACGGGTCCGCCCAGCGGGGTCCGCCGGAGTCGGGCGGTTCCGCAGCAGCGAACCAAAAGACAGATACAAAAAAAAGTACCTGCATATATGTATACAAGGACCCTCCTGTCGGGTGTCTATTTATAGCCCCTTAGCTGTGATTCGGGGTGTCCATTAACCACCCCGACTGCGGGTCCGGGTATATATATATATATATGAGAGACTGTGGTTAAGGTAAGCTGGTTGTGGTCAAGGTAACCTGGTCGTGGTTAAATGCTAGTTTCGCATATATAGTGACACAAAGTATGAACATGTCTATAGATGCATCATTCTCACAAATCACAAAATAACACAACAACACACAACACACACATATATATATACACTGTGTATGTGTCTATATATAATATATAATTTATAAACATATATAAATATAGATTAATATAAATAGATAAACAAATATATATATATATATACGATGCACCTGTAAAAGAACATGTCTGAACAAGAAATGACATTGCACCACCCATCTGACACATGCAACCACCTCGGACACAACAATAAACCCGGGTAACTTTAATCTACTTCACACCGCAACCTACAGAACAAACATGGCAACGACAACAACGTCAACGTTCATGTCGCATGTTCATGTCGTTTTGGTGCTTCAGTCTCAATGTGAGCACTACAGTAGCAATCCAGGCACCCTGCCTGCTGTTGCAAGCGTTGATTCTCTGCCTGCAAAGAAGCCGCTCAAGCCGCACTCAGAAACAGAAAAAAACGGGATGCATGGACAACACAAGGTGTGTGTTGTCCAAGCCTGCCTTGAGTAGCTTCATGGGCACAGGTGATTTCATCGTTTCGTTTAAACATATCATCGCGTGGTGGGTGATCCAAAGACTTTCACCCAAGCCAGCCCATGCTCTTTCACATCCCATATCTGACCGGACCAGAACACGTAGCGAGCGACATCCGTCGCCCAAAACAGTCCATGCAGGCGCGCCACCGCGGCCGCGCGCCCCGCACCTTTTGTTGAATAAAATGCCTCTTGACCTAGCCGAGTCGAGGAAAATCAAGGACCAAGGTCAAGGCAATCATTGACCTTTTAGGAATAGAGGGGTCGATGATGCCAGGTACCAAATTACCTGCTTGTTCACCTGGCGGGTATCCCCTCTCACGGGTGCGTCCGTCGTGCATCGAGTCTGGCGGATTCAGCGTCGCACGCGGCGCGCGGCGCGCGTGTTCTCCGTCCTCATCTTGCAGCCGCTGGACATCACCAACCATGGTCCTCTTCAGTTCCTCCCAAAAACCGCTTTTGGACACAGAAATCAGCTGGGCAAAGAATACATGACAAAAGAAAAGTCCAAAGATCGCAAAGGAACCTGTAAATACAACAAAATATACAAAATATAACAAAGGATATCCAGCACTTTTGCACCTGCTCATGCCCAACTTGCTGTTTGGAGTTCCATCTACACACAAACGGCAATAGTTTGTGCTAATGTTCTCAATGGTGCTGGATGTCCACCATATTCTGGTACCATCCAATGCCATGACGAGCACATGGAAGGGACGACGAAGACCGTCCAAAAACCAGACCGGTCCCTCCTGAAGTTGACCTTGGTAATGTTCCTCGACGCCGGCCTGTGAGGAAAATCCGATGTGAGCACACATGATCACATCATGAACCGGCCGACATCACTTGACCCTTCCGACATCTTTGTGAAACAACGTCACGTTCCGTGCAGTGCAAACCACCCTGTGCGACACGACCCGTCACTGCCAGTTCGGACTGGCCAGGGGTGGTTGACTGGGGGTCAATCGGCATGCAGTCCCAGACGGGTCGTGTCAGGGACCGGTTGAGTCATCCGAAATCGGGGCTATGCCATCCACAGATCCATGTACACTCTGACGAACACATCACATGGTTACGTGGACGTCCTGGTCACTTGGAAGACTACTTTCCTCTACTTTCCACGTGGTGAACTCCACTTCCATGTTAGTGAGTCAGAGTGTAATCATGATTCCTTCAGGGAGTGTATTGCGTTAGCCATCTTTGACAGACGTGTTTTATCTTGTTTTGCCATCCCAAACGGTCAAACCGGTCACATCTGCAAAAGTGGGTCCCCTGAGGTTCACCTCTAGTTTAAGTGGTCAAGTGGGAGTGCAAATGGAGATCCTCAGTTGGATCCCCTTTTCACAAAGCAGAGAATCAGAAGACCATCCGAACCCCAGGCGAAACATTGGCCAAACCGGTCTTCCTCTTCTCCTTTCTAACACGCCTACCTGGGGTGTACTGTACGTAGCAGCTCTCCACCGATCGCATAAAACTTTTGGAATCACCTATATGTATATATCCCTAGGCTTCCAAGACCATGAAAAGAGGGTTGACCTGATTGTGTAGTGCGGTAAAGACCATTATATAAATCAATGGTGGTTGGAACGGGTATGCGTGTCTCAGAACACGTTTCGCACCCAGTAGGCCGCAACTTGGCATCTCTATTTGTGCACCCACATCGACGATATAGAAGGTATTAAGATGTAATCAATATCATCTCATATTCTCAGAGTCTCTGGATATCCCTGATCTCTAACAGATTGTTCAATCTTCTTTCTGCACTCCCTCTGGCTTTGTGGGCCCCTGGTCATCTTCTCTCCCTCCTTGCGGAAGTTTCTTCATTGCTCTGACTTCTGACACTCCCGTGTAGGTCGAGTATGTCGAATTTCTTTGCAGGAATGGATTCAACCCAATGAGGCATACCCAAAACAGAAGGGGGCAAGGCAATCCAACATTCACCAGCTCAAGTAATGCCACTCTGTCCATGCTTTCCACCCAAAACTGCTTTCTAGAGAGGTCATTGATTTGCTTGGCCTGAGTCCCCCAAAACCACCATATTTAAGGATTTGTTAAGGATTTGACACCGGGTCCGTCGACCGGGCACGTCGCAACGGCGAAAAAGGACACGACCAGACGCGACCTGTCTGGGACTGGAATTTATTTACATTCACATGACATTGGGGTGGTGATGGGTGGGGGTCAATGGGGCAATCTTGTCCGGTCGGGACATGACGGGACACATTTGGTCTGCGAACGAACTTCCGCACCTTATCGTTTCGGAGGCTCTCGATCTCTTGCCGTTGAGCTGCGAGCTCCTGGGCGACCGACCGGTCAACCCAGGGGTTGGGGTGAGTGGGAGGGGTGCTTAGGAGCACAGCTTAACACAGCTTTCAGGGATCTTTTTTCTTAAGAGAGACTCATCAGTGAATGCCTTCAAAATAATTTTGAAAACATGTCATGGGACGGTAATTGCTTTGATTGGTATGTCGTTGACTGTGTCTACTCCCGCTCTGCTCAGCGTTGCTACGCCGACGCTGGTGCTTTCCGATCTCTGGGTGTCATGAAACCAGCGTTTTCGAACAAAACGAACGGAGGTTCAGAAGAAAACATGTAATGGTTGTCTCTTTCTAACCCAAACCTCCAAAGTTTTGGGGGGAACCTCCCAGGTTTTTGCTTCCAACTGGCGTTCCCCCTGACACCAAGAAAACCATGCCCAATCAACGGTACTGCCCGCCACCATTGGCTCATGGGTTCTGCTTTCATGCCCCCGCCTCATTTTGCATGGAGATAAAATCCTCGAGAGAGGCAAGCTTCCCCTTGAGCCTGGCAGTGAGACATTGTGATACACGTCAAACTTTCCAAGTGGGTTTGTATTAACATAGGGAGACCCTCCCAACGCAAGAAGGAAACTGGACCAGTCTACCCAGCCAGGATGTCTACCCAGCCATGGAGTCTACCCAGCCAAGGGGTCTCCCAACACGCCCAAGCTTTAGTGCTTACCAATATCATCCAATCCTGTCGGGGCTGTCATGGACGACCCCGACGAGTCTGGACCCGACTGCTGCCAAGGGACCCAGTAGGGCCGCCGTCCTGAGAGCGTCTTGCTTCAACGGACGTGCCAGTCGCGCACCGCTCGCGACTGGACGTGTTTGAGCGCTTCGCTTTCTGAGGCTGCAGCTCCATTTCCAGACATCATCATGGCACCCAAAACCCACAACCGGAGCTTGGTGGAAAAACCGGCCTAATGCCACTAACTGAGCCAAATCACAAGAGACACGTTTCAGGCTTAGTCTCAACTGTTCCCACGTAGGAATATGAGATTGAGGGATGTGTCCAGGTCCAGCTCTCATGCATTCTTGTATTTAAGTCGTTCAATTCTAGCAGAATGAAATAGTACAGCCAAAATCTGATAGAAATTGATAGAATAATGCAGAAATCTCTACCCAAGATAGAAGTCGAGCAAAAGAACAACCCGGCGCTCCAGTAAGACTCCATCTCCTACCAGTTACATCAAGAGATTCACTATTTAAAAAGAACACTTGAAGAACTCAGGCACGCTTCTTCTTTTCAATTTGTTTATCACATTACTGCACGGTTGCAGGGTGCAGCATGAAGTCGGCTGGAACACTCCTTAGTTGTCCAACTGAATACGAGAGCCGCATGTTCGCAGGTTTCGTTGAAGCAAAGACATGCTAACCCAGACACTCCATGGGACTGCCATATATGCCGCCCTATTGACCCATATTGACCCCCATTCAACCACCCCAACTGATTGGCATATGTGGCAGCCCCATGGAGTGTCTGGGTAAGACAATGAATTAGTTGTGGGCCAGAACAACACATCGAAAACACCAGGTGAGTTGATAGTCTATCCCCTTACTCTATATCCTTTGGGCTGCCATTTTAGACTTTAAATATAGGGATTTGTCGTTTATATGTCGTTTATATAGTAGTAAACAGATCGCCAAGGCATTCACTATAAAATGATTTAACCAACCTTTTTGCAACATGTGACAACAACACAGCAAAGTGGCCTCTTGGCAAGATTGCCCGGAAGATGTATTCCTCATAAGAATGAGTTGAAACACATGTGTGTTTTACAAAATGCTTGAACCAGCCTGGCAACAATACTTTTTAGGAAAAACTGATTTGGGAAAGTGCTTGCCTCACGCTTGCTCGTCTTAGAAACTACAATATAGAAAAGCCAACAATCCAAACGCATCCAAACCAGAACATGAACATGAACGCATCCACATACTGCGAGTTCCATGAACATCTAGCTTGTTTTGAGCTTGTTTTCATATAATGAATGACGATTTAACCGTTCACCTGAATCTATCTTGCCACAAGTAGCTGTTTACAATAAAAATATAGCATCCAAGCTTTCCAATACTTTTCTTACTTCTGTTGTGCCTTTCCCGATTCCGCTCAGCTTGAACCCAGATTTATCATGTTATAACATCATTGCCCTTTCAGGAACCAGTTCTTTTTTGCTTCAAGCCCATCAAGGGGACTTTATGAACTACGGGTCGGTTTGCTCATTCTATAGGGCCAAAGGTTCTTCATGTGGATTTGATCTTCCATCATATTCTACGTAGGTAATCTAGTTGTTGCATGTTATTGTTCATTCAGTGGGTTGATCAGTCCAGGACTTTTGACCCACACCCACATGAACTGTGGCCATTCTCTTTTCCTACAAATGGATGCACCAGTGGCACTCCCCATCGTTGGTTCTTCAGGTACGACCAGAGATGGGCCCCATCCAGCCTCACCCATCGACTGACACGGATCCCATCCGATCCCTGACCTCCACGGTGGATGGCCGTCCCGCCACAGCTCCCACCGGGCTTTCACCGCTCCGTGTTCGATCCCAGCGGCCATCCGAAGCCGAAGACGATCCGCGGCGGGCCCCGAATGGCATTGGTGGCATGGAGCTCCTGGAACAAGAAGCTACTATGGTAACCAAGGGCATTGCTACGAACGTCACATGATACGGCAACCGTCTTCGCGACGTGACCGCTTTCGGTGTCGGTTGGTGCGCTCCTGGGAGGCGAAGAAGATCCAGGCATCGCCCTCCTCCACAGGGACGGTCCTCGGGGGATGGTTTAAGTAGCACTGGCCATGGTGGATCCATTGGGAGTCCAATGGGATCTGGAGGCGAGCTGTAGTTCAAGAAGGAATCCTGGATCTCAGGTAGAACATGGATGAACATGGCATATATATATATAATAACTGTAGACAGCTACTGTTCTTCTTGGGTTCTTGTTCAATGCCCATGGTAATAGTTTTTCTGTTTGTGAGCATGGCCAAGGAAATGGAAGATTGGATGTGATTGGTGTCGATGTTGATTCCTGAACTTCAAAAGGACACCATAAAACCTTGCTATTATAGAATACAATGGAGGACAATCTAGTTTCTTTGACATCATAAATATAATCAGTTCAAGTTCAGAAAAGCAACCACTGCTTGGGCCCTTCCTGTTTCTTTTTCCATGGAACAAACAGACAATCTCCCCTCTTCACCTCCCCTCTTCACCCGACACTGGCCCGACACTAAGGACTTGGCTGGCCGGCAATGATCGGTTGCCCGGACCTGTGGCAGCCCGTCGCGTTAAGGACGATCGCTCGGGTCGCCGTGCCTCGACTGGTGGGCCGAAAAAAGACCACGGGCCCGTCTTGGGCGGCAGAGCACGCATCATTTGGGCCCTTTAGGGTTTAGGCCCCTTAAGGGGCCAGGGGCTTAAGCCAGGGTTAAAGGCTTAAGCTTTCTTTCAGAACACTAAGGCTTTGACCCTTCGAAGTGAACAAATGAGATGCCGCCGGGTCGGTCACGAAAGTTAGGTTGATTGAAGTTCGGTCGAGTTCGGTCCTGGTGGAAGACTCCTTTACAACCCAATGGTTTTGGAGTTCCATGTGGGTCTCATAGGTTTGGGCGACCTGAAGACTTCAACGTCCATGCGGTCTCTGGGCATGTTCGGAACCGCTACAAGTTGGATCGGTTGGATTCGGTTGGATCACCCTTTTGTTGAACATCCACCCAATCTGACTGGCATTGCTAGTCATATTTCACACCCAAGCCATGGCCTTGTGCGGTTCTGTTTGGGGTCATGATGGCTCCATCATTCCATCTGACGATCCAACGCGTCCTTCCATCCGTTCGATCAAACACCTTCGTGGAAAGCATGCTTTTCGATGGGTCTCTCCCCGGGCTCTCGGTGTCGCCTGTCCATCTGCACCACAGCGTTGGCCCGCAAATGTGCCCGGGAGCCTGGGAGTTGGCCGTTGAGCCGTAGCAAGCGGCGCCATCCGTTGCTTCTGAGGTAATTTTTTGTGGCTCCGGGAAAAAGATGGTGTCGTCCGGAATGGACACCTGAAGCAATTGGCAATCCTCGACTTTGTCCGTGATTCTTCTACCTCACATGTCCTGCCGCACATGCCACGATAGAGACCTCGCGCGCAGATCGACCTGGTTGGCTCTCCGACCCACCCGTCGAGCGGTCCGGGCCCGAACCAATCCCCACATCTCCGGCCGTCGTGACGGTTCCGCGGGACGGTTCCGCGTGAGCGGTTCCGGTCCGCAAGGGTGACATGATCGGTCTCGACTGCGGAGACCTCATCCAACCCCAAGGTACACCGGGAGGAGTACCTGGAGGAGTCTCGGAGTCTCTGGCCTGCTGGGTACTTGTCGCGGTGTTCATGGATGAAGCCATTGGGCTCGATATAGGAGCAAACTCGCCCCAGGGTCTCATCGCGAGGCCTAGGAGACGAACAAACATTGGCGCAAAAATGGCACTGAACATGCCAGCAACATGAGGGTAGTGCGCCCTAGCATCACATTGAACATCATTGAATGCCGTGACGATTTTGTAGATAGTCTTGCTTCTCTAGCCTAGACTGTGACTTGATATATAATTGCATCATAATTGACCATTCGCTTCAGGTACTTGCAAAAGTGTTGAACCTTTCTGAAGACATCAAGTTTCATAGGCATGAAAGCTAAATCGATGGTTTTAGCTATAAAACATGGTGTTTTCGCAAACATTCACAAACAAACACCACTTTGCTTGGTCTTGGATGTGATTTCAGCAGTGGTGAATTTGAACTTCTCCTCGCACCTCGTGGATTCGCAGCTTATCGAGAGTAGAAGATGTCAGAGGGACAAAGGATCTGTGTCAAGTTGGCTGTCTGATCTGTCTGGTTCCGGCAAGTGTTCTCTTCATTTATCTGCACTTTCGTTGTCTTTCCGTCACTTTCGGCTTCGGTGGTACGTGGTGGTCTCAAATCGGCTCGCTGCCAACCCTGAAACGAATCATACCAGAATTCGATCTCTCCCGCAAAACGAAGACCCTCCCTCGCCTGCCCTTCAACCCCATCACAGCCATCTCCAGCCGCTGGGTCAGAGCCTCATCAGTGAAGGATGGACTGCTACGGCTACGGTTCCCAGGGCGTGATTACCTGGTTCCACCGGCGAGGGCTCCTGCCTCGATCAAGGTGTCGACCCCACCAGTGGCGTCTAAGCGCCGGAAGAAGCGGTGTGGTCCTGCAAGGCGGTTTCCAGAAGATAGATTGTAGGGCACAGCACGGCATAGTTGGACACAGCTGGGAGCCAACTTGGCAAACTTCTGGCCTGCTGGATTTGGTAGTAATCTGCCATGCCTGGGCGGCATCCAAGGCTGCTCTATAAGGATGGAAGAATCCTCTATACCTCATGCCATTCGGCCGGTTTCACCCAACCAGGAACCGAACACATGAATAGAAAAACCTGCGTTAAGCCTTCCGTTCCGAATCGTGTTGAGCTCTCAGCGCTTTCTGCGCAATGGCTGACTTCAACAGCTCCAATCGTTCGGCCTGCAAACTCTCAACGGTAAACCTGCATGTTTCAATGTGGTCTGACACCAATAATCTGATCTTGTAACAAAAAACTGTCTCTAAAACAGACCTTCAGAACCCCCGCTGCCGCCTCAGATAGAAACTGCTTCAAAACCAACCACGGCTTTGGTGGTTCTGGCCTCGCAGCAGTCTCTTTTGCGGGTTCACCCGTCTCCCAAATCACAATGCGTCCGCTCTAGCGGGCGCGCGGGTGCCTCAAGGACTGCCATCGGCAGTTTTGGACTCGCAACCTGGATAGCGCTAGGCCGAGGGAACAAGGACGACGCCTCTTTTTGGGGAGCTCATGATGAACATCTTGGAGGTGGAAATCCATGGGTTTCCTGGATGTCAGTGTGGGCCACGTTCCAAATGAAGTAAAATGAGTCATTACAGATC